ATGGCGGTGGACTCTGAGCAGAAGACAGAACTCCAGGCCATGATCAGAGATCTGGAGGACGAAAACAAGTAAGACTGGATATAAGTTAGTGACTGAATTTTAAGGCATCTCATTTTTGCTTGTGAAGAAGAAAACTTTTCAAAGTAGTCAACATCATAAAGTCAGGATTTTTCCAAGTTTGGAGATTTTCAGTACTTTTTCCTCAATAAAAAGAAAAAATAAAGCAAGATTTTAACCTTGCTCCAGTTACTGTGTGTGATGAAGTCAGCTTGCATTGAATTCTACATTTCTGGCTATTTCAATTTGCATTAATGGCTCTTACCAAAAAATGGTAAGAGTAATTTTTGTATCACTGTAGGACACTCCAAGCGGAGTATGACCGGTTACGACAGGCTAATGACATGAGGGTTGTCAACGGCAACGGCTTCTCCGACTCCATGGAGGAACCAGAGGACCACGACGAGGAAATGATCGCAGAGGCCAAGTTACTACGGCAACACAAAGGTCGTCTGGAGTCACGGATGAGGATACTGGAGGACCACAACAAGCAGTTAGAGGCCCAGCTACAGAGGCTCAGGCACCTACTGGACCAGGTACATGGAATTGATAAAAGCAAATCTGACCTCTATTAGGCCTCAGACTCTGAAAATGTAAGGAGGCTCCTCATCCCAACCCTCAGCTTCAGAGGCTGAGGCATTTACTGGACCAGGTAATAAATAACGGCATACCTGACCCCATGCAGTCTTAAGACAATGAACAAGTCAAGATGTCCCCCATACCTGACTTTATCCATTTCTCAGACACTTGTTTAATGAGGAGCTCCCTCCCCTTCCCTTCCCTTCCTCCACCCCCCCCCCCCCCCCCCCCCCCCCCCAGTTTCAGACACTGGGATGTTTGCATAATCCAGGTAATGACATTTTCTCCCTTCTCTTTCTCACTATCAATTCCATACAATCATGAAGTTTCAGACTTAACTGGTTGCCCCTTTCCTCACCTTAGCTTCAGAGGTTGAGACACCTACTGGAAAAGAGGACATTCTCCTCATTATCACATCCGCAATCCCAGATTCTCAGACCAGGAAAAGGGCATCTCCAACCCCATTCCACTCCCAACACCAAGAAAATCAGGATGCTTTCTAGATACCCCTACCTTATCTCTAGTAACCTCAGTCATTTACTAGATTTAATAAAGCTAATTTTAACAAATTGATGTGTGATACATATACCAGGATTGTTGGTAACATAGAAGAACTTGTATAGCACACCCCTGATCGTGACCAATTTCAAGTAAGGACTACTGTGTCACCAGTATTCAGTCAAGTATCTGGTTCATTATGATATACACAAGCTGAATAATTTCTAAAGTATATTGCAATCTCAGTTGTGCAGTTACTATATAAGTTTTATGAAGGTATATTTAAGATTAAGTCTTTGTTTTATTTATATACATTGATCATGTCTGTAATTTCAGCCCCAGGATACCAGTTTACCGGTGACCGCCTCAGTTCCCACCACCCCCTCATCCACCAGTTCTGGCCCTCAGGGGCAGTCCAAATCAAACTTCAGCCCTGCCATGGAGTCGACACCTATAGTTAATGGACACTCAGGTCAGTCAGCTAATAAAAAAAATAGTTCAGTTGTAAAACTACCACTGTGACATTAATATGTCTACTTAAGACAAAATTAAGGCAAATACATAGGTCTTACTACTTTAAGCCACGTCAACTATTTTCTCACTTGAAACAAAGCCCATCAATAATTTTAATTATACTGTCTTATTTATTTACTAATTTGTGAAATTGTTTGATATTTAAAATTTATTTGTTATTACAGAGAGAAAGTCAGAGGAGAATGGAGACCTGAGTGATATTGTTCCCAACACCAGCACTTCATATTCCGAAGACAAAGGTAAAATCGACCAGAAAGTTTCCTGTTCATATTTCAAAATTCACAATGCACAACAGGCATTTAATTAGATGTTTTAATAAATTCGAGACACACTTTACAAAAGTGAAAATTGAAAAGTTATCAGAAAAGTTCATTACCATTTGGAATGTAATTGAAATTATTTCCAGTATAAAATGTTTTGAATTTCACATTGTACATATGCTGAACGTGCATTTAATTTTCTTATTAAACAGGGAACAGCAGTGTGGGAAATTTATTCCATTCCGCGGGACAGATCGGGAAAGCGGTGGGTTCGCTGGTGACGGTAATGACGGAGGACGGGGAGATTGAGGAGGATTAGATAATTGTACACGTAATTCTCTGTAACCGCGTTCTTAATTCCGGGACAGCTATTCCTCAAAATCTGTACTGATCTTTTTATATACATGTGTATGTAGAAGTCATTTATGTTCAACATCAATACTCGTCTTTCAGGAAGAGATAAATTCACAAGAATTGATTATGGTTGTTTCCCTTTTTTTACGTTGTGGTTTACACTATATTAAAAATGAATTTTCCGCATGGTTGTATGAATTTTTTTATTTTTAAGAATTTTGAATCTAACTTTTATGGTTGTAAGGAAGGAATCCTGATTTCTCTATAATTGTTGATAAGGTTGTCAAAAACAAGGGCATTGATATTTTCCTGACTTTAATGGATAATTGTTTTGATTTGTTTTACATGCATTGATTGCACTAAAAATAAAGTGTTACACTTGCATTTGGTTGTGATTTTAATAATATCGATACCTGTGTTGAATTTTGCTATTACTTTATTCAAAGCTGAAATACACAAAATTTTGACACGTATACTGTTTTGCTGCAAGAAGTATGCTGTTAGTTTAATTCTTTTATAGAAGAGTTACAGATGTAAAATTATTCTTTCTGTTAAAAAAGCAGAGTGAATATTTTTTTTTCACATAATTCCATATGTATGTTTGTTATGGTGCTAATTTTTTGTAACAATTTTCAAGATGTTTTGAATACAATTCATTAGGCACTCTACAAGTTCAAGGAGTAATGTATAATTAGTATTGATATTCATGTCATAATTTTCATATATTACAAATTATTCCAAGATGATGTGTAGTTTTTGACTATAAATTCACTGACTTGGAGACCAGATATTTTTCCTGCTGTAATCCAGAAAAAAACGTATATAGTTTTAAATACATCTATAATTGCATTTAAATTTTAAGTTCATTATTTTTATTTCAATATTAGAACTGTGTATTCCTAAGATATTCAATATGACATATTAAAATAGCAATTTGATAATTAAACTGAAACAAAACCATTTAGTCTGACAATAATTTGTACTACAACTAAAAGTATGTTATACAAATGTAAACTGCTGATCTGGGCTGAGTTGCTTTTTGTGATATATTTAGCCACTTTGATAAATAATATAGGTCATAAAGTAAATGTTTTATTCAGAATCCTTGAGTATAAAACGAACTACATCTTGAGTTTATTTTCCTGGTGTCAAAACTATTGATAGTCATTTATTATTCTATATGAATTATTACAGTTGTACTACAAATGATATATGTATACATTCTCTGATGTATATCAGTTGATGTGTTTCACATCAAACACAATAAAGATTTATGCATTAATGAATTCATTTTTTTTGTTAATTACTTATATTTCCTCTGATACTTGTACAAAGTACAGTTTTCTGATAGAAGGTACACTGTATATTCTTTGTGTGTCTGGATCTGAAAAGACTTTTTGAACTGCAATTCTCTTGGTACATTTTTTTTCTTGGAGAGGTCTTTATCTGCACGTCTATACGCAGCAGGCTATATATAAAGGGCTTTACTTTGGTCCAAAATTTTACAAATTTAAAAATATTCAAAGTGTGTTGTAAAAAGTGATACTACCAAATTGATCATACTTAGAGATTATTTTGTTTGAATAGCTTTTATGTTCCCCCAATGCATCCAAAATTAGCGTTCCTGCACCTTATTGGAGTATCAGAGCTAATTTGAAAAGGTTTTCTTGTCCAAAAATTCTGACCCCAACACTACCATCCAAATAAAATTGGAAGATTTTGAACCCCACCCCCTTACACATACTGTGTCCATAAGACAATTGAAACCCCCACCCCCTCCCCAGAACTTAAATGATACCAAAATGTAATATAAATACATATTTTGTTTGAAAATTTAAAAAAAGAATTCTGCTTATTATTAAAATTCTAACCTTATAATTTTCAGTATTGCTCCTGGAGCGATTTCAATGACTATTTTCAAAATTCAGGCGCAGTGGTTAGAGCGTCTGCTCTAAAGTCGCGAAGTAAGTAGTTGATCCTTAGTCGCGAGTTCGAATCCCACTAGGGGACGTGGAGGCTGGTCCTATGGATGAATCCGTATAAACCGAGGTCCCGTGTCGCAGTAGGTGCATGCTGGGACGAAAAAAATCTCACTGCTTAATGGCCCTGAGTGCCGAGTATAGAACAGAATTTGCAGCTCTCCGTCGGCAAGTGGTGGCGTCTACATTGAGTAAAAACATTTCGCGAGGGACGTTAAACAATATAAAATCAATCAATCAAAATTCAGTAGGTAAGGCATGTTGAAAAAAAAATATACGTACAATTCAGCTAGACGGACGGATGGATGGACATCCCGGTCCATCACTATATTAATATTCCCCCTGCATTTAAAGCGGATGTATAAAAATGCGTTGGAATGTTCGACCGTATTGCAACCCCCCCCCCCCCTTTTTGATTTCTTTTGGGTGTGTTTGTGTGCTTGATTTACTGTTTCATATATATATATATATATATATATATATATATATATATATATATATATATATATATATATATATATATATATATATACATGTATATATCCTAAGTCTATTTCCATCACTGGTGAAAGATGTTGAAGTTTTGGGGGATGTTTTAAAGATAGTTTTAAACGCCGCATATTTTTCATACCATAGATTTTCCACATATCACAAATCTTACAGGTAGGAAAAAAAGAATTGATAGGAGAATAGTGAGAAGAGACTTTGCGGAAAAATCGGAGCCAACACGGAAACAATATTAGTGCGTTGAATTTTTGAAAACGCATTTCATCGACTCACGAGTATATTTCCCTGACTGGTTTTATAATAGAATGGCATTGTCAGAATGCACTTGTGGTCTAAAAACAGGGAACTGGAATTTCCCTCTTTCATTTTCATATCGGTACATTCAAGGTATATAGGTCTATGTTTCAAGATATTTACGAGGTCCTTATATGTAAGTATGCTTCAACAATCTGATAAGTTTAAATAGTATTATGTGTTATATGTAGGTACACACATTGTATTAAGGTTTTTAAAGGTTAGTTAGGGCCGGGAAGGGGGGTTGTGTAACAACTTGCCTGGGGGACGGGGGGCACTAGTATGATTTAATTTTTTTCACACAAAATATTAAAATACGATGATTACACTATACCCTTCTGTACAATGTACTTACAGTCGGGTTCCCTCATTGGTTGAAAGAAAACAAAAGCAAGAGTTTATGAGTACATATATACATTTGATGGATAGTTTCAAATGCACATTTTCAGAATGTAGTCCTATAAACTTGTACACTTTTTGTCAAATTTCATTACATTTGTATAACTGGTCGAGACACAGCATGATTATATAGAATGTAATTCACAGATTGTATCACATTCTGGTCAAAAATAAATAAATTGATGAGTAAAGTTGTTGTGGCATATACCGGGTATAAATTTGAGCAAAATTTTAAAACCGTTGCCACGGGCATGCTACATGTACATGTAGCTAAGTTTCATAAAGTATAATAGAATAGGATGTTAAAAATATATGTACCTATACTATATTCTTAGTCAAACAAACATCTGATTAATTTTTAGCTCTACTGGTCAGAGACCAGAAGAGCTTATGCGATAGTAATGCGTCCGGCGTCCGTCCGTCTGTCCGTCTGTCTGTCTGTCTGTCTGTAAACAAGTTTTCAAAATGCTACTACTCCTACAGTTTTCGTCTAATTTCAATATAACTTGGTACACAAGTAGACTACACTAAGATACATAATTCTGTGTATCGGTTTTTGATTTCGATGAACGGTGTTGCCATGGTTACTAAAAATAGAAATTTCTGTGAAATTCTTTCAAAATGCTACTCCTCCTACAGTTTTGGTCTAATTTCAATATAACTTGGCACACAAGTAGACTACACTAAGATACATACTTCTGTGTATCGGTTTTTGATTTCGATGAACGGTGTTGCCGTGGTTACTAAAAATAGAAATTTCTGTGAAATTCTTTCAAAATGCTACTACTCCTACAGTTTTGGTCTAATTTCAATATAACTTGGCACACAAGTAGACTACACTAAGATACATACTTCTGTGTATCGGTTTTTGATTTCGATGAACGGTGTTGCCGTGGTTACTAAAAATAGAAATTTCTGTAAAATTCTTTCAAAATGCTACTCCTCCTACAGTTTTGGACTGATTTCAGTATAACTTGGCACACAAGTAGACTACACTAAGATACATACTTCTGTGTATCGGTTTTTGATTTCGATGAACGGTGTTGCCGTGGTTACTAAAAATAGAAATTTCTGTGAAATTCTTTCAAAATGCTACTCTTCCTACAGTTTTGGTCTAATTTCAATATAACTTGGCACACAAGTAGACTACACTAAGATACATACTTCTGTGTATCGGTTTTTGATTTCGATGAACGGTGTTGCCGTGGTTACTAAAAATAGAAATTTCTGTGAAATTCTTTCAAAATGCTACTTTTCCTACAGTTTTGGACTGATTTCAGTATAACTTAGCACACAAGTAGACTACACTAAGATACATACTTCTGTGTATCGGTTTTTGATTTCGATGAACGGTGTTGCCGTGGTTACTAAAAATAGAAATTTCTGTGAAATTCTTTCAAAATGCTACTCCTCCTACAGTTTTGGTCTAATTTCAATATAACTTGGTACACAAGTAGACTACACTAAGATACATACTTCTGTGTATCGGTTTTTGATTTCGATGAACGTTGTTGCCGTGGTTACTAAAAATAGAAATTTCTGTGAAATTCTTTCAAAATGCTACTCCTCCTACAGTTTTGGACTGATTTCAATATAACTTGGAACACAAGTAGACTACACTTAGATACACAATTCCGTTTATCGGTTTTTGATTTCAATGAACAGTGTTGCCGTGGTTACTAAAAGTAGAAATTTCTGTGAAATTCTTTTAAAATGCTACGTCTCCTACAGTTTTGGACTGATTTCAATGTAAGTTGGCACACAAGTAGACTACACTAAGATACACAATTCTGTTTATCAGTTTTAGACTTCGATGAACATCATTGCCTTGGTTACTAAAAATAGAAATTTCTGTTTAATACTTTCAAAATACCACTCAAATACAGTTTTAGTCTGATTATAATATATTGTGGCATGCAAGTAGACTACACTAAGAACATAGAAAGACTAAATCAAGGATCATTATTCTATTTATTGCTGTTATATAGTTTCAATTCCCAACTGCTTAAGTATTTTTCTCTTCCTTTGCTATATGTACAAACCAGTAGAGCTTCAGTCTCGACAGAGACTTCTGGTTCCATTTATAATATTTTTTGGTATGAGTTATGGTTAGAATGCTTCTAAAAAAAATTTCAGATTACAATTTAAAACAATGGATTTTGAGAGTTTAAAGACATGGACACTTTCATGGATCACATGGCCTTTCGATTTGGTTAGCCGCCCAATCAAAGAGCCCATTATTGGTGCCGTTGCAGGATGGTAAGTGTACACTTACGTTGTTCCATCTTATGACGTATTGACGTATATATTTAACAGATTTGACAATACCTTCACATTTTGTCATTATACACAGGGCTACCATCTGGTTTCTGCTTCACATTGGAAACACTGTTCTGGTGTACATGGCAATATTTATCATTGTGTTCTCGGTGAGTTTTAAAGAGAGTGTAAATGGATCTTATGATATGAATATATAATTATAGAATATTTAGGTTCTCCAATATTATGTACCAGGGTACAGTATTGTAAATGCTTGTATATATGATTATTGAGCAAACATTTCGTATGGTTTTCATGTTACATATATCGAATCCATTGTACATTATATTTGTATATGCTGCATTGTGGAAAAGTTTTATATGATCAGATTGCGGAGAGATATGGAGTGATCACCATTCACTGGGATAAATTAAGGGGACTCCTTAGTGGCAGAAAAGATATAAAGGAGGTCACCAAGGAAAAGATTCCGGGTTGGATTCAAGCAGTAAGTGCACTTTGCATAAGTTACGGTTTTTATAATGAATAATGCATAGTTTTAATGATTTTTCCCCTATGAATTCTTTATATTCAGTAGTAACATGAATAAGTAAATATATGAATATATTTTATATTATATTTACAGATCCAGGAATTCCTCACGAATCATATGCTGTTTTCCTTTGGATACATACTGGGACTTGTGGTTGGAATGAAATTCTAGTGTCAATTCCAAATACTGTTTTATTTGTAAATCCATTTTTATGTCTCCATTTTACATATTTTCAAACTGTATTTCATCATTATGAATACATCTAGAAGAAAAAGTGTTTAAATCAGGCACGTAGTACCAGGAGGGCCCCCACCTTTTTCAGACATAACATTTTAACATTAATTATAGAAAATGTTCATTCAATTTTATTTTTAAAAAAAATGAATGCCATTTCTTGAAAAAAAAAACAAATAATTTTTAAAGCTGATAATTCAGAAATTGACATCCATTACCGATTTACTATTCATGATTACTTATTTAGAAAAAAATTCTATTTTGTTATATTTAAGGAATGAATTTAATAGCTACCCATTTTATACGGTATAAACTGGGTTGGTGCAGTTTACGCTTTATAAACCGCGAAGCGGTTTTATAAAAAAGCGTAAACTGTTCCAACCCAGTTTATACCGTATAAAATGGGTAGCTATTAAATTCATTGCTTATAATTTAATTTTCATTCATTTGATGTAAGAAAAAAAGGTCATTGTTCTAACAAAGTGACTTCAGTTTGTACAAAATTTGAATGTAACGTCAGGCGGATTGATACGTTTTTGACGCAAGTCATTGTGACGTAGGCAACCCATTTTATACGATATGAAATAATTTTTTATCCAATCAAATACAGCGTTACAACCAAAATTAAATTATAAGTAAAGAAATAAATGAAAAATTGTAATGCCCATAATAATTTTTGTTGGTTTAATTTCTAAATTTATTGTACTATATGTTCACTTCACCCCTATCTACCAACTTATGGTTCAGACTATCAAATAAGTAATTATATCACCTGATAAAATTCCCATTTTGCACATATTTTTTGATTGAAATTCAAATGTGTGCAAAACGGGAACAAACCAATAACACTGAGTTTAGTCAAAATCGGTGACAATGCATTCCAAAAAGTTTTAGGACTTTTCCACCTTAACAATTTTAATGGTGCAAAGTACAAAAACTGTATTTATTTTCATGAAACATACTGGTTAAAATATACCAATTATTGCAAAAAAAGAATGCAAAGGTTACCATATTATTTAAGATGGGAGACATAAATATAAAGAAGTATATGTCAACATTAAAAAATCGTACATTTTTTGTAAACAGTTTTATAGAAAATATGTAAAAACTGGTTCGATGGATAATTCTGATGCCGATAGATCCGAAATACTTGCTACTGATAAGATAATTTTGAATTGTAAATATCAGGGAAAATATTTTACAATAGAAGTATGAAGATATGCCTGAATGAAGAAACACGAGGAGTTGCTGCCCTTGTGAACATTTTTTATACCCCCCGCTTGAAAAGCGGGAGGGTATATAGTAATCGTTAATTCCGTCCGTCCGTCCGTCCGTCTGTACGTCCGTCTGTCCGTCCGTCCGTCTGTCTGTCCGTCCGTCTGTTACGCTTTGGGGTACCCATCTCTTATCCGTAACTCCTCTCATACCACTGAATGAAATTTGATGAAACTTTCACAGAATCTTTATTACATATTGCCATTGTGCACCTCCTATTTTACTTTTTGATCCGACACATATTTTGGGTTTCCCGGCCACAGGAAAACATGGACTTTTTCACCTGTTATAACCATATGGGAAGCGGGGGGTATCATTTAGTGAGCTCATCGCTCACAGTACCTCTAGTTTTGAAGATTGAATTATAGATTAGATAAAGAAAATATACTTTTTTTAGTATTATTTTACTTTACAATATTTATCATTAAACTTATTTAAAGCATTCTTCCAAAAGATATTGTTCTATTGGTAATGCATTTAAATTAATAAAAAATAATTTGCAAAAACCTATGTCATCATAGGGGTATGTTCCCATTTCGCTTTAAATGTGAAATTCAGGTAAGAAAAACTTAATGTACTAAGGCGAAATGGGAATTTTAGTATTTGCAAATATAATTACTTGGTTGATATAAAAATTTAAATGATAAGTTTTTTAGATTGAATTTAATAATTAAATCGTAGCATCGTTTTTGAAAGTGGGGGGGGGGGGGGAGGGCAACCAGAGAAAAAAAAAATTAACTTACCTGAAAAAGTTGACAAGCAAACAAAGAAAAAGGGAAAAAAATAAAAGTTTCCCAAACTCGAAAATCCTATTTCGTTGGGGGGGGGGGGGGGGGGGGCAAATTTTTAAAAGCCAAGTTAATTTAAATTACAATTTTACCCACGATTAATGAATTAAAAAAAAAAATGGTAAAAAGGGGGGGGGGGGGGGCAACCATACTTTCAATGAACATTTCCTATAGTAAAGGTAATGTTGCGGAAAAAAGTGGCACCCCCCCCCCCCTGTTGCTACGTCCCTGACCGGTTATTATCTTCCGATTAATCTGAATCAAATTTTAACTATACAATTTATATAGCCCCACCCTAGCACTAGAAACCCTGACCCTTGCGTCATGAATTTCAGAACTCTGGAGAAGACACCCTTTCTTATCATAACTATGCATGTAGTTAGTTTGTTTAATATCCTGGAGCAGAGGAGGAGATTTTCAAAGAAAAAATGCATTTCACTATATAACGTTATAGCCCCGTCCTAACCCAAGAGCCCCTGGTCCTGGGGCAATGAATTTCACAATTTGGGTAGAGGATTCAACACTGATAAAAATTAGGACAACAGTTTGACGTCTTGATGTCAATGAGTAAAGAAGCTTTTTAAGATTGCATCAATTGTACTGGTTTCGCCCCAACCCCCTGGCACAGGGAGGGATTACACAGAGAAGCTAAAATGTTCGAATATTAACGCACAATGCACAGCGCACGGTGCCAGAATAAAACAGATAGCAATAAGTCAGATGAGTTGATTCAGGTGACCAAATAAGGACTGAGCAGGGATCACTCTGGATTTTAATGTTGATGGGCCATTGGCCCATCAACATTAAAATCCATGGGCCATCCGCCGGGGGTATGGGGGCCGCGTTAGGCCCCCATTGGGGTCCAGGGGAAACGCCCCGGTAGGGGGTCCAGGGGGGCAAAGCCCCCGCCCCCCCCGGGAAAAATTGATTTTCCATGCTATTTTGTGATGAATTTCAAGTAAATTTGATGGGTCTTTGAGGTTTTTTAAATGCCATTTCTGATACAACCAATTTCAGTTTTTTTTTAATAAACTGAATAATATTATAAATATAAAAGTTTTTTTTTAATTTCATCTTAGTACTGAAAAATGTCATATTGGAGAATTGTTTTCGACTTCATACAACAGAGTATAAATGTAATTGATAAACAGAATACCTAAGTTAATTCCTCGCCCCTTTGATTTTATCGATTTAGTTCTCGAAAGTTGTTGAAGAGCTAAACTATAAAGGGTGCAAACTTACATGCACATTTCTCTTCTGAATAGACCTGGGGCATGCAGTTGCAGATTAAATTTGGTTCAAATGGTAGGGACTGGTTTTGTATGTAAAGAACTCGGAGCAAAATACGCAAAAAAACTTAAATGAGAAAATTTTTATTTGTTTGCAAAACATTTTAGTCCCATCTGATCAAATTCCAACCACGGGTGCAAAGTTAGCCACTTGGACTGGAAATGACGAACATCGTTGTCGTTGACATCAGGAGTCAACGTCTTGGACTGTTCTTCTTAATCAGAGACCTCAGCCGAGTCTGGGAATGAAAAAGTTTCCGTCGTTTTATTTGTAAAACAAACGAAAGCTTTCGTTGTTTTGGGTCAGTTGGCCCAATACCAATCTTCGCTTTGGAGGCATTTCGGGCAAGTGTCTGGATACACAATGAGTAACTTGTACTTGTTTTGTTTCGAAATAAATAATCAAAGTTTTAAGAAATATTAGAACATATTACATACTGGAGTATTACTTTCATATGTTTATTATTTAAATCATTACATATAATTTTAATGAATATAATTGACTCAGTATTCGGTAAAAAATTTCTAGTAGCGTAATGTAAACGAAGGAAATATTCCATGTACAATTCCGATTTTAGTCTTGATCAACCAGACGCTCTGCTGGTGTAAAGAACATACGCGACAACAAAGAGTCTGATTGAACGAAGTAACATATGCTCAGATACGTCATGAATACAATCGGTCAGCTTGAAAACGGTCCTAAAATGCATCAAGATAAGAGTTTCGACCCACAGTTTTGCATCTTATAGCGCCATATTTAAGACATGCGCCAGACTGACCCCTTTCTAATTTTTTAGTGCGCCATTTACAAATATTGAGCGCCAATGGCGCAAAGGCTCAGCCCAAAGTGATCCCCTGACTGGAGTCCTTTGGTCTCCATATTTATGTAATATATTAGATGTCTTCTGTTCTCTCTGTTGACTTACAATACAAGGAAAGCTCTGGGTCCGCCGTCATAAAACTGATAATTCTCAAAAAAAATTCTCAACTCAAGACTTGAGAATAACTCACCTGAGAATTTTAGAATAAAACAGAGTTTAATGAATTTTTATTTTTCTCAACATTTTTATGACAGCCGCTGAGTCTGAGAATTTTGGATTTGAGAAAATTCTCAGACTTAAGAATGTTTTATGACAGTGGACCCAGGCTGGTCTTCTTATTGATGTAAAATATAACGTGTCTTCCGGTTTCTTCATTGTTGTTCAAAATAGTGTGAGCAATAGTTTTTAATGATGTACAATCTAAGGTGACCTCTGGCCCCCCTTCTAATGTACAATATAAGGTGACCTCTAGCCCCCCTACTGATGTAAAATATGAGGTGACCTAATGATATTGTTACCTCTAGCCCCCTTTTAATTCAAAAAGTATTTCAAATGTAAGATGACCTATGATCCCTCTAATGATGTACACAATATAAGGTGACCAATGGTCTCCCCATATTATGGACCGCCATGGCTGCGTTATGTTAGACGATTTATTATATACTGTTGGTCTATCATTATATGCTGTGGTTCTATAATTATATGCTGAGGGTTTGTAATTATATGCTGTGGGTCTTTTATTATACGCTGTTGTTCTATAATTATATGCTGTGGGTTTATAAATTATATGCTGTGGATCTTTTATTCTATTTGAATTTTCGTCATAATTACTTCCGGAATTATGTGAGATAGTAGTACGCATGTGCAACCACAGTGTGGTACGAGTTATGAATGAAG